TTCTCAAAGTGCTGGGATTACAGGTGAGCCACCACATCTGGCTGAGATCATACTTGTAGAGAGGCTACCATGTGCCAGGTGATATGTTTTGTGCAGGGAGGTGAGGAGTAAAATCAGACCCCTGTCCCCAGGGGGTTATGGCAGAGTGGGGGAAGCAGATCTCCCTTGAGCAATTATAAAACTGTGACAATGACAGGGGTTGTACAGAAGAGCCTGTCTCTAGTGCAGAAAGAGCCTAGAAACAGGTTTGACCTGGTCAGAGAGGTCAGGAGGGCTTGAACCTCCAGTGATGCTTGAGGTAAGATTTACCAAATAAATAGAACAGGCAAAGAGAGGAGTGAAGCATGTGCTAGGTAAGTGAAGCCTGCAGGTGTGAAAGTCCTGTGGCAGCAGGGAATATGCTAGTGAGGAAGCCTTGAATAATGGCTAGTGTGGATGAATCACAGGGTTCTGAAGGTGCATGGGGTGTACAAGTGACACTGGAGAGTAAGTAGAGGCCAGAGCAGGCAGGGCTTTGGACACCACCACATGTCGCCATGGAATCTTTGCAGGAAGTGGTTCCAACAATACCAGCATGCAGTTAATGACCATACATGGGCTTGAAAATTTTTACAAGCCAGAAAACTATTTAGAGTTAAAAAAACGAATCAAGTGGGAGTTTTATTAGAAACCAAATGGAATGTCGGGTTGGGGCTGTGTGTCGCTGGTTCATCTACGTTTTTCTCCAGAAGCATAAAAACTGGCAGACATCCAGCCCGTTCTCCACCACTGCAGCCCTGGGGCCCGTGTCCCGGAGACAGCAGAGTATGTGCGGCCTGGGAGGGGACTGACACTGGTAGGGGGGGATGGGAGGTAGAGCGCATCCTTGGGTCCTCCCTAGAAACCACCCACGACCAGATGGCTTCTCACCGCCCTGAGGGTTGAGAATATATTGTTCTCACCTGCATTCTTCTCAGGTAAAAATGTTGCTTACGATCATCCCTCTCACTTTTGTCTCAAATATAAACAGTCACCAGAACGAAATGCCTTCTGACTTTTGGTTTGCTCCCCTCCCCTGGCTCCCTCAGAGGGCGCTGCTGCCAGCTCACAGTTTGTTGCTGAGTTCCCGGTGGTGGTTGGAGCTCAGGATCAGAGGCAGGTCGCAGGGGTCCCAGCGGGAAGCCACTGTGATCGCCCTGGAACTCAACCTGCCAGAGCGGCCAGGAGGAGACTGGCAGAGCCCACGTGGCAGCCGAGGGCCAGGGAGACAGTGCTGGGAGAGCCTCAGAAATAGCCTGAGAGCCGGAAGCGGGGCCAGAGCCCCTGGGAGGAACGGAGTGGAGGAGCAACACGTGGCCACGGCTATTCTGGTCCCTGTGCCTGTGGCTGGGCGGCCCGGCGGCAGATGCACCATCACGGAGACCCCTTGGGCCCCCGACCCTTCCCCAGGGTGGTGTGTTGTGGCAGGGCCTCCCCTCCGTTCGCTCCAGGTGGGCAGAAGGCAGGAGAAGCGGAGAGGATGTCATCTCTGACATCAGGTGGGAAGTCCCTGAAGATTCCTCGCTGTTCGCCCCAAGAGCTGCAACTCCACAGCAAGGTGTTGGCATGCCCTGTCCGCAGGGAGCCACCTGCATGTGCTGGCAGCCTAGTCCCCAGAGATGGCTGCAGACTGCATGCCTCTCATCTTTCAGGATGTTGCCAGGCGTGCTCTTAAAATGCCCGCTGACAATGTTACTTATCATTACTGTAATGCTGACGGTGATACCTAAAAAGTTGAGCAACATGCCCCCAAAAGGCAAAACAGATAACAGTAGGATGCTTGATAGCTAGCCACAAAACCCAGCTTTTTATTGAAGTATAACACACATACAGAAAAGTGCTCACAATAGAGAGTACAGCTCCAAGCATTTCCATAGACTGAACATACCCAGGCAACTGGCAACCAGGTCAAGAAACAGAACATTCCAGAAGCCCCTCTTGTGCCCCCTTCTGGTCACGACGCCCTCGAGAGTCACCACTAACCCTACTTACAACCGCACAGATGAGTTCTGGAGGGTTTTGTACTTGATACACAAGGAGCCACAGGGTGCATCCTGCCATATCTGGCTCAGCGCCTTTCTGTTGGGTGCACATCTTGGGGTGGACTTGTTAGGACGTGTGGCGTTTACATTCAACTCAGGGTATTTCATGGAGGAATAAGGAATTTACTGGACGGGGCTTGGCGGCTCAAAAGACTTGACAGAAAACTAGAAGGGAGATGTAGGGAGACAGGTGGAGGTGGAGACAGCTCGCTGGGGCCAAGGAGTGAAGCAGGAATGGTCTTCCCAGGACCCTGCCGTCCCTGGACGTTGTTACCAGTGGATGCCCCATTCCCGCAGCCTGGCAGCCCTAGACATCTCCCGTGCTGGACAACTGCCCTGCTGGACCACTGTGGTATCTTTGAAGTGAGTCTCAGCATCCCTTTGTTTCTGTGTCAATTGCTCCCTCACAGCCAAAACCAGGGAGCCTAAGTAGCCTGCCCTGGGCCACGGACTACTCCCTGCTGAGTATGGGGCTGGAGGGGTGTGTGCCAGGGAATCGCCCCACCTCAGCTTTCAGAGTGGGATGTGGGTGCCGCGTCCCACTAAGTTTGTACACCATGGGAAGGGAGGGCAGATGCTGGACGGCCAGGCTGGAAACACAAAAATGACCACCGCCCACTGCAGCTGCACTCTTTCGTCTTCCACGGACTGTTGGGGGTGAGAGGGCCCATTCACATGTCTGTTGTACTTCCATAGCCCATGTAGGTGAACCTGCATTTAAGAAGAGGGAGCTGGGTTCAGGAATCCCCTGAGGAGGGCTGACCCACGAAAATGCCATAGCTGTAGGAGGAAGAGGTGTCGTAAAAGGACAGAAAAGCACCTCTTAGGGGAAGGTAAGAAAAAGAGGGGGAGAAAACAAAAAGAGAGGGAATAGAGGGAGGCCGAATGTGGAGGGACAGGACAGGTTAAAAACAACAGGCAAGAAAGTGTGGCCGAAGGCGAGAAGTATGTGGCTTTCTTGACCCGATTTTGCCTCTGTCTGTGCTGCCCCACTTTCTCGGGCTTTCGGGTGTGCTTTTACGGATTGCGTGTTGCTGCTTCAGGTTAATGATGTTGATGTGGACTGTGGGTCAAAGAGGCCCTGGCCAAGAACCATGCTACGGAAGGACGTGAGTTTGCTGCATCACACCCAGTGTACAGTTTTGCTATCCTTGGAGCTCACAGCTAGCTTCCTAACCCACATTGGCATTATCAGTGAACTTTAATGAAACTAAGAATGGGTTTCAATAAAGGAAGCAAGAAATAAAAATGTGCTAAAACCATTTATTAGGGCAGCAAGTCATTAACTGATTTGAAAATTATATTTGCTTTTTTTTTTTTTTGAGTTGGAGTCTCACTCTGTCACCCAGACTGGAGTGCAGTGGTCGCTCCCAGCCACCACAGCCTCGACCTGCTGGGCTCCTGCGATCCTTCCATCTCAGCCTTTCAAGTAGCTGGAATTACAGGTGCGTGCTACCATGCCTGGCTAATTTTTTGATTTATTGTTGAGATGAGGTCTCGTCAAGTTGCCCAGGCGAGTCTCGAACCCGTGGGCTCAGGCAATCCACTCACCTCAGCCTCCCAAAGCGCGGGATTACGGGCTGAGCCCTCGAGCCTGGCTTATATTTGCCTATTTGCAAGCAATTTTATATTATTCATTGCACTGAACCATGGGGTCTTTGAAGTCGGGGTTCCTCCCTGTATTCTCCTGTGGCACTGAGCACATTTATTTGTTTTAATGATAATCAGAGCTTTCATCTATGTGGCATCTGTGTCCTCCCAAGCAGAAAGGCAGGAGGAGTCACTGCCATTGTCCCCAATTTGCAGGTTAGAACATCCAGGCACATGCTGGTCTGTCCTATATTACATAGCAAGTCTCTGTCAGAAGCAGAGAGAGAGGCAGGTTCCAAATAACCGGAATAAAACAAACGGAGACAAAGAGCTCTCTGCTCCTACGGTTCATTCCCCTCTTTTGTCAGGGGTGGTGTGAGTTTGGTTTGGGTGGGGCCTACAGGTTGGTCTTGGATAATTCAAGAGCAAATTAATGGATGTCTAGCCTTTCCCTGGGACACCCACAAGTCACCTTCCATAAACTGCCAGAATATGGGCTCAACGGGCCTCTCCCAGCAACAATGGGAAGAGAAGTGTGCTGCTGAGGGTGCAACCAAGGTTGCTGTTAACTCACCGTTTGCGGTTAGGAGTGTTGGCGGGCTTCCCTACCCACCAGTGGAGGACCTAGATGGTAGCGTAGCTCAGCGTTCCAGGGAGGGCCCTGGGCCGACTGCCTGCTCAAGTCCCAGTTGTCCTGCTTACTACTTACAAGCCTGGGCAAACTATGTCACCTCTCTGTGTCTCTGTTCCCCTCACTCTAATGCAGACTTAAGCCGTGTTATTTCCTGCAGAAGAACGGAATGACTCGACATGCACGGATGCTCAGATCTGTGGGTGGCACACGGTGAGCTGCTGTCACTCTGACCCACTCCTGCAGGGCAGGGGCTGCCCTGGCAAAACCCTGAGGGCCCAGGGCGGTGTCCAGAACAGGCCCTTACTAATGAGGCCCGGGTTGGAACTACTGGGAAGGAGGGAGGAGGACGAGGCGGCATTTGGAGAGGGGAGGTGGTGCCCGCAGGTCTGACTGTGACACACGAGCCAGTGGCTGTCACCGTGCATGCTGATGGTCACATTCACTGCAGTGTCCACCCACCCTCGACATTTGTACAAGGACCACCTCCAGGGTGTCAGTCAGAAGCATGGGAAGCAGGGGCCATCCCTCAGGGTGTGGGCCACGTGCCTGGCAAGACACATGTTAAGAAAACCATTCCAACTGTGTGGGTTGTTTCCTGTTAACAGGGTGAGAATACAGGGAATAGAAACCTTCCAGAACTGCCTTCTCCAGGAAATATATATATTTCAGCTGGTCAAAATACTCTAATTGGATACTAAATTATTATAGATGAGGAATATTTGGGTACAGTTTTTATTTTCAACAACTTATTCTCTGAAATGTACTAATGTATTTCAGCTTGAGAATTGATATTTAAATTCTTAAACCCTTAACTCCATATTAGTTTTACATGGCACACTTGTTATTTGGCTATGAACATGTCTGTTTTCTTTGCCAATAATGAAAATAACATGAAAATGAAAAAAAAGAAAAGAAACGGAAAGCCACAGAGAAAACACAGACAAAAACAAGACAAGCCCCATCTATGAGGGGTTGGGCAGGGGCGGGTGTGGGGTGGCACTCCCCAAGGCTAAGCATGCACTGTCTCTACAAGGGATTTCTGTGGACAGAAAAGGAGACATTTTCATCACAAACGGAGTTAGAGAATGGTACAAAAGAACTTCTTCTCTCGAAAGGGGTTTTCTGATGCAGGCACTGGGATGATGAGAGGGTCTTCCCGGACGTGGGCCTCACAGTATGCCAGGAGGTCCGCAGCTGCCTGGGAGACCTGTGGGGACACAGAGCACAGGCGCTCAGTTAGAGGCCACTTCCCAGAGTGAAGAAGTGGACAGGCCCCAGGACAGGGTGTATCGTGTGTATGGTCAACGACAAGGCCACGCCCAGGCTGGAGGCAGGGTCTGTGCTGAACCAGCGCCAGGCTTGAAGCACCCCTCCGAGAGAGGCTGCCCCAGACGGGAGGCCAGCATCTGGGGGGACTGCCAGGAAGCAGAGGCCTAGATGGCCTGCTGTACTCTTCAGGAAGTGAGGAGGAGCCTCATAAGGGCTTGCAAAGCGATTTCCGGAAGAATAAAGCAGAATACAGCCCCTGGCCCAGCCAGTGTGACTATGTGTTGTTACTAACACGAGTTGTTTCCATGATTTTACTACTGTGAATTGTGCTGCAATGAACATCATGTGCTGGTGTCTTTTTGGTAGAGTGATTTATGTTTCTCTGGGTATATTTCCAGGAGTGGGACTGTTGGGTCGAACGGTAGCTCAATTTTTAGTTGAGAAAACGCCACACTGCTCTCCACAAAGGATGGACTAGCTTACATTCCCACCAACAGTGTGCATTCCCTTTTCTCCACGGCCTCACTAACACCTGTTGCTTTTTGACTTTTTAATGATAGCCATCCTGACTTTTTAATGATAGCCATCACCTCACTGTAGCTTTGGTTTGCATTTCTCTGATTAGGGAGGCTGAGCACTTTTTCATGTTTGTTGGCTGCTTGAATGCCTTCCTTTGAGAAGTGTCTGTTTGTGTCCTTTGCTCACTTTTTAACGCCCACTGAAAGTGGACTGGATAAAGAAAATGTGGTGCATATACACAACTGAATACTATAGTCTTAAAGAAGAAGATCATGTCTTCTGCAGCAACATGGATGCAGCTGGAGATCATCATTCTAAGTGAACTGTCACAGAAACAACAAACTGAATGCACATGTTTGTTCGCACTCATAATCGGGCCCTGACACTGGAGGCGCGAGCACAAAGGTCGGAACGACAGACCCTGGGCCCTGCTAAGGGAGGGGGGGAAGGAGGGGGGCAAGGGGCACACAGCCACACACTGGGCGCCAGGGCCACCACCAGGGGGAGTGAGGGCTTGCTAGAAGCCCAACCCTCACCTGCAGGCAACTGACTTATGTAGCAAATCCTCACAGGTACCCCACAACTCTAAAATAAGAAAGAACTCTTGTTGTTTTATTGTAATTTGCTCTCATGGCCAACAGAGAGAGACATTTCACCCTCCTCCAGAGAGCCCACAGTTAGCTGTGATTTATAAGCAAGTGTGTGTTAACTTGAGGAGGCCACTCCCATGCGGAGAATGTTGCTCCCGTCCAGAAAGCTCTTTCCCTTCCCTGTCCTTCTGGGCTTATCGTAAGCCTCGGTACCTGGCAGTGGTGCAACTCATCGTCCCCAAGCTCCCGTCCAGAGGAAGAGCTGAGTGGGAGAAGGCAGGGGTGCCGAGAGGGAGATGAAGTGACCAGCCCGTCTCACAGGCAGTCTGTTTGTGAGTGGCCTGTGCACTGACTCAGCCTGCCAGTGAGGCTGTGCCGCCTGCAAGTGCTCATCGGAGGCTTCCAGGCAGGGCAAGTACAAGCAGGCAAAGGGAATCCTTTCAGTGCATTCATGTCTACATCATCTCCCGAGGAATAAAAACACTCCCCAAATGAACGAAAAAATGTTTCAAAGCCTCCAGCCATACAAGCCACACACATTCCCTTCTGGGGTTTAAAAATCGGCTCATCTCAACATTTTACAGCGATTTTTGTTATGATTTACAGCTCAGACCCAACCATGCTGGCAACAGTTGGAAATAATTCCAGCAGAGATATACAGTGCATTTTTCTCTTCAAATAAGTCAACTCAAAGTTGAACAGATGAGTCAGTCTAAATTCTGCAAAGCCTACATCTGTTGGGAGTGTGGAATGAAGAAATGGGCACCCGTGAAAATCAGGCCTCTAATTCTACCTCTGCCCTTAAGCTAGCTTCGTGACCTTGGACAAGGAGTTCTACCTCTAGCGGCACCATGATCTATATTTTGTAAGAGGAGCCCCAAAAACTCAGAATTACTTTTTGGAGGGCGGGCCCCTGGAAGTATAGGCTTGTCCTGCTAGGGAAGTGTTCTAGGAACCCATCGACATCAGTATACCAGTTAGTATTGTGAGAGGCTGCCTTTGGCTTCTGTGGATTTTTTTTGGAGATTCTTTCGACGTGTTTGCTCATTTCACGAGGGGTGATTTACAAGTGCACCTGCCCACACCGTGCTGAGGGTTCAGCAGTTTTTGACCAAAAATAGCACAATCCCATACCCCACTGGATGCCACCTGAGCAACTTTTTTTGTTTCCCCAGTTGAGAATAGTACTCAAAGGGAAATGTTTTGCTGATGTGGAAGAGGTGAAACAAAAAATGACAGAAGCACTAAAAGGCATCAAAATCGATGAGTTCAAAAACTATTCTGAACAGTGGGTAAAGCATCGCGATAGGTGTATTGCATCAAATGGGAAGAACTTTGAAGGTGACTGAAGTATAAACATAAGAATAAAAACACAATTTTTTTTTGAGTTGGAGTCTCACTCTGTAACTCAGGTTGGAGTGCAGTGGCACACTCACGGCCATCCCAGCATCGACCTGCTGGGTTCCTGCGATCCTTCCGCCTCAGCCTTTCAAGTAGCTACAGGTGCGTGCTCCCACGCCAGCTTAATTTTTTATTTATTGTAGAGACAAGGTCTTGCCAAGTTATCTGAACTGGTCTCGAACCTGTGGCTCAGGCTATCCACTTGCCTAGGCCTCCCAAAGTGCTGGGATTATAGCTGAGCCACTGAGCCCAGTCCATTTTTTTAAATAAATAAATTCCAGGTTTATCTGGGTCCCTCTCGTAGACCCTAAATGGACGTATGTGGAGTTGAATGGGAGTGCTTAAGTTTGCAGTGGCTTACAGGACACCCATATAGGAACTTCCCAGGTAGGTGAGGTCTGGGGGAAGGCCAAGCCTCAGGGGGGATCTTTGAAGCCATCACCAGGGTCTAGAGCATGGGGGCAGGGACGCTGACTCTGAGGCCCACAGAGCTATGGTGGACACACAAAGAACGGGGATCACACAGTGGGGCTGCAGCACATGACGTGGAGTCCAGGCAAGGAGCCCGGCATGCTGCTTCCACCAAAGCCCAGTGCTGTCCCCAGCTGCCACAGTCATGGCTTCCTTCGGCCCCACCTGCGGCTTCTCACCCTGCCCAGAGATGCAGAAGCTGCAGGGGCTGCCCCCATGGCTGCCATGTCAGGAGAGCTGCTGAATCCATCCTCTGGCCCCTCTGGCCACTCCAGGAAGTGTCTGTGCTGCCACTCAGGCTGGCACACACAAAGGATTGCAGAGTGGGGAGCACCCGCCCTCCTCCTCTCAGAGCCACGGTCCTCCTGGAGGGGTCTTGGTCCCTGCCTGCAGCGAGCTCTTCCAGGAGCGTCGCGTCTGACGACCATGCCCTCTCCGGCTTTCTAGTTCTCATTTCCCTCAGCTATGTCGGTGTTTTTGGACACGCTCCAGCTTGTTCTAAAGTCTCTGTAGACCTCATTATCTCATTCAGGAAGTATTTACTGAGCATCTGCCTTTTTTGCCTAATTGTGAGGATGCAGGGGAAAGAACAAGGCAAGATTTCTGCCCTCTGGAAGATGTGATTGAGAAGACTCAAAAGTGATGCAGTTGCTACAATACGCGGTGTGTGCCACAAAGAACAAAAGAACAGTTGCACACTGCTGTGGATCCGTGACGCAAGGCAAGGAGACGGGGTGTCTGGCTGCCCATCCAGCCCCACATGATGGCACACGCCTTGGTAAACCTGTCTCCTTCCTCCAGGGGGCAGTCACTGGCCGCCTGGGCCAGAAGCATGACTTTCTGGCATGCTTAGAGTGGGTCATCTCTTAGGGAAGACCCATACTCAGTGAGTTCAGGAGGTCATTTTATAAAACTGTAACAAGAATGGCAGGTAACATTTACGGAGTGCCTGTTATGTGCCAGGCACTGTGCTGAATGCATCATGTGTATTACTTCATTTAATTATTCTGACAAGTACGATTCTCATTTATTGATTGATAATAGACAAAAATTGAATATATTTGTGATATACAACTTGATGCTTTGATATACATATTCATTGTGGAATGGCTAAATTGAGTTGAATTAGCACATCTGCTACCTCACATATTTGTTTATTTCTTTTAGAGACAGGGTCTCACTCTGTCACTCAGGCTGGAGTACAGTGGCATGATCATAGCTCACTGCACTCTCGAACTACTGGCTCAAGGGATCCTCCCACCTCAACCTCCCAAGTAGTTAGAACTACAAATGCGTATCACAACGTCTGGCTAAACTTATTATTGTTATTATTCTTCGGCAAGAATATGTAAAATCTACTCTCTTGGCAAGTGTCAAGCATACATGCTGAGTACTATTCTTAAAGCCACTTTACAGATAAGGAAACTGAGGTACAAAGGTTAAGAAGGCCATACATCTACTAAGAGAGGAAGCCAGAATTTGAGGCTCAGCAGTCCATACTATACAGAATATATACTCAGCCACTATGCTACAGCAGCGGCCTTATTAATTGATAATGAGAACCGGAATTGTCAAGTGGCCTGGAATGTTCTCATCTGCCCAGTCAGCACGCAGGAGGAAGGATCCTTATAGACCAACTACTTGGGAACTCATATGACCAGAGGAAGAAGAGTCTCACACTTCCAGTTTCTGAGGTCATGCCATTTCACCCAGGGACAGTGAGTGTCCTCAGCTGGGAACTGCTCCCTCTCTCCTCTGCCTTGAGGATGCTGGGATGGACAATGCCACCACAACTGCCAAGACCCTCCTCCCTCTAGGCTGTGACCCGTCAATGCCCTCTACCTACACACGTGATCCGACTAGTCAGAAGCTGGCTTGCTAAATGACCAGGATAGCTTCCTTGCCCTTGATCAGTTTTCTTGTCCAGGTGGTTATCAGTATCCATCATGGTGGATTT